ACTGCAGAGTGCCAATCTTCTCACTCGGATTTCTGAGGCAGCTGGAGGAGGGAGGAGCGACGCCACCTCTCTGGGGTCACAAGCCACTGTTCCTGGAGAGAGGCTGCGGTCAGCTTGCCAGCAGGTGATTCCTTACCTCTAACCCGTAGCACCTTTCCCGGTCATTACCTCATTTTGCCTCGTTTTAACTGAAGCCCAGGGAAAGGAATGACTTGCAGCAAAGTCGGTGGCCGAGCCGGGAGTTGAAGCTTCAAATACTCAATGCCCTCTTGCCCCTCACACCTACCGCCATCGTAGAATGAAAAGGAGATGGTGATTGGATTGTGCACTCCAAGCTGCTATACTCTGTGAAGCGGAGGGTCGGGAAGAGGAGAAGCAAGAGCATGGATGGAGAACCGTGGAGAGTGCGAGGGGTTGGGAGCCCAGTCAAGGAACTCATCAACCTCACCCCTCACAACACATGGGCATCTTGAATTAGGGACATTATTATTCCATACAATGAGACCGCGTGCGCATTTCCAAAAAAACGAAAAACTGGAGCACGTGTCAGATGAAGTGGTTGGAAGTGATGGGGTTAACCCGGGAGAGCTTCGCGGAGGAGGTGAGGCTTGAGCGGATTAGGCAAACTAGCTGGGCCGCGGGCTGGCTGTTCTGGCGGGGGAAGAGTGCGGCTTGTGCCAAGGTTCGCGGGCGGCGTGTGCGACGGGATCGTACTGAGCCGGGGAGCTGTGAGGCACTGAAGAACGAAAGGGTCTGCGCGGGCCCTCTGCGCGGTGCCTTCACCCACGCCGCGCCCCGGGCACGCGCCAGCCTGTCCCCGGCGCCCTCCCCCAACTCCCTGCCCAAGGCCTCGCCTAAAGCCTACGCGGGGAGAGGGCACGCTGGGGCGAGGGGGTGTGGTTTTCTCCCTCCAACGTCCCCTAGAGGCGTTGGGCATCAGCTCTTCCCTTGGGTTATAGGGGGCACACTGGGGCGGCAAGAGGGGAAACCACCAGCCAAGGTCACCTTGTAGGCCCGTGTCATAGCTGGCGTGGAACTCCTCTCCCCGCCCGCCTATGCCAGGGACCCGGGCACGTCCTTCCTGGCGCCGTCGGTTTTCGAAGCTCGGCACCCGGCCTGGGGCTTCCCGGATTCTAAGAGCCTTGGAGCTGGGACCAGGAGGGGCCACCGTGCACTCCAGGGTTCAGATGTGGTAGGCTCGCCCGAAGTGGCTTGGGCAGGAGAATTCAAGATTAGGAAGAAATCGCAAGGCCCTATGCGGGGAAGGGGCTTCTTAGGCACGCCTCAGCTGATGACGACAACAGGGGACGTGATAGTAACAATGGCTTCCTCCGGGATTTCCCTTCCTGGGCAGCCCACGGCGCACAGACAACAGCCCCAGGTACCCGAGAGGAGGCGCAGACGCTAGCACATACCCGCCCCGCCACCCAGCAGGGAGCGAGCGAGCCGGGAAGGGAAAGGAGCGTCGGAACAGTTGGATTACAGGGCTGCCCTCCGCCGCAGCTTCCTGGGTGTCAGGCCTTGGAACGCGCTACCTCCGGATGCTGGGAACACCCGCGGGGAGAATACCAACAGTTGCCTTTGCTTGGAAATTTATGCAAGAAAGGCCTGGCAGCGAAACAGACTGCTTGCACCTGTTTCTCAAAGAGCCACTAAGTGGCCGTGTGAAAATCTTTGCAAAGGGTCCTCTTGAATGCCGGGTCTGAGGAAGACAATTCTGCACCTGACGAGGAGCTAGGAAAATTATGCAGCAGTCAGGACAGCTTAGGGTTGATGCCCTGTATAGAACAGTAGTCTTGTAAGAACTATTCATTCAACATTTACTGAACACTTATTTCCTGCCATGCACCTTGTTAGCACAGTTGGGGATGCCTGGTGATCAAGATAGCCGTTTGTCCGTCCCCTCCGGGCTTTAACCTGATTGCACGAGATTTCTATTCTGCAGGTGTTACTGACTTACCCACATGCTATTACTGCCTGTTCTGTCCTGCCTCAGGTATCAATCTTCCCTAAAGTAAGTCCTTAGGCCACTCTTAGTCCTAAAGGCTTGATGGAGGCAGGAAACCCTAGATATTCCCAGGAAGACAGATTAGTGCCAGCTTCCAGAGAAGAAGGTAGCAGAGCAGGTCAGAAGGGGACTTCAGGGGAACCCAGGCTGGACCAGTTCGTTCTGGGAGAGGAGAGCAAAGCCCAGCTCTGAGGTCTGGATTTAGTCTGGGCTATAGATCTCAGACATGATTTGAAATCCAAGCATGTGGGCAAGGTCCAAGCCAGGCTGAAGGGTGTGCGGTCCACTCTCTGCTCAGTTTACCTCCAGGAAGCCTTTCCTGACTCCCTCCAGATGAGCTATGTGCCCCTTCCTGGTGCTCTGAAGACCCACTGTGCTTATGTGATGGTAGCACTTGCCACACTGTAAGGAAGTCATTTGCTTGTCTGTTTCCTTCCTAGAGTACAAGCTCCCTGAAGGCAGGAATTGACTTTCTCATCACTGTGTCCTGGGCTCCCCCTAGAGGCTGACACAGTCTACCATAAAGCCGTCCTAGAAAGGAGGAGCCTATTGTCAGAGTGGAAGCAGGATGGAGGAAGTAGGATTTTAGCTGGAGATGAGAGAAGATGAGGGAGGGCTGCAGCCTAAATGTCATCTCAGGGAGGCATTTCCTGACTCTCAAACTAGGTTAGTTCTCATGTATGCATTCTTACTGCACACTTCTTTTCCTTCCTTAGTACTTATCATACTGTAATTAAATTGTTATTTAGTAATTGTTTCTTCACTTGACTTCCAGGATACCAATATCTGATTTTCCTCCTACTTCATTGCCTGCCTATTTTCAGTCTCCTTTGCTGGTTCCTCATCTTCTCAACTTTCAATGCTGGGGTAGTCCTGGACTTGGTCACCCTCTTCTCTTACCTTTCCACACTCACTCCATGGAGATATCATCCAGTCTGAAGGCTTTAAATACTATCTAGAAACAGCAGAAAGCACTGGTTGTTGAAGCTAAGTGGTGAGTACATGGAGGATTATTGTACTATTCTATTTTTGTATGTGTTTGAAATTTTCTATTAAAAAGAAACTTAAAAAAGGCATCCATATGTTGATTCTCAGATCTCTCACTTGAATTCCAAACTCAAATACCCAAATGCCAGCTTGACCTTTCCTCTTTAATGCCTAATGGCATCTCAAGGTTCATTAGTCTAAAGCTGAGCTCCTGATTGTCGCCCCCGTCCCAGACCTGCTCTTTCAGCAGTCTCCTCATGTCAGAACATGTTAACTGCATCCTTGCATCTGCTCAGGCAAAAACCTTACAGTCATCTTTGACTCCTCTATTTTTACCCCATATCCAATCAGTCAGCAAATCTTGCTCCCACCCTTGTCCAAACCACCATCATCTGTCTTCTTGATTACTGCAGTAGCCTCCTAGGTTGTCTTCCTTTTTCTATCTTTATTGCCCTATAGTCTATTGTCAATCCAGTGGCCTGGCAATGTAGGCCAGATTTCATCAGTCTCTACGCCACTCACGGTCAGCCACAGGACTTCCACCGGCCTACAAAGCCCTACACAATCTAGCCCACTCTGATCTTATTTCATGCTACTCCCACTTCACTCCCAGCCACTCTGGCCTTTGTGCAAGTCCTACAACACACCAGGCAAGTTCCTACCCCAGGGCCTTTGCATTTACTTATCTCTACCTGTCATACACTCTGCCAGCTGTCTTCACAACTCACCTGAGACCTGCTTCAGGTCTTGGATCAAATATCACCTTCTCAGACTCTCTCAGCTTATCCTTTTAACAATTGCAACATCCTCTCAAAAATTCTCTATTTCCGCCTCTTGCTTTGTGTTTCTCTATAGGCATTATTATCACCTAATATACTATACATTTTACTTATAGTATTTCTGTCTATCTCCTTTCACCAGAATGTAAGTGCCATGATGGCCGAAAGTTTTGTCTGTTTTGTATGCTGCTGTATGTATCACTAACACCTAGAACAGTGTCTGGTACATAAGAGCACCCAATAAATATTTGTTGAAGATATTGTCTTTCTTCTACACTAGATTATAATCTCTGAGGACAAAAAGAGTTTGACCAATTATCATTGTATCCAGGGTACTAGGCATAGGGCAGTGTTTAACAGATATTTGTTGAGTAAGTGAATTGATTAATGAAAAGGACAATTTATGAGAGGAAATGGTGTGAGAGCAATGATATAGAGGTGAGAAAGAACAGGAATATTTAGTGGGGGAAAAAGACCAGTCT